GATGGCTCGCAGCTAGGCTTGCCGTAGTCGTCGTATTTCGGTGGAAAAATGGATAACAGGTCCTTGATCTGCAAAGAATATTGACATAATAATGTTCTGATGTGGTCGTGCCAAAGCATGCGAAACAAGACACACGGCCATGCTATCTGATGTATGCAGCCTGTAGCCGCAAGTAGCCTTGATCCCCCACCCTCCCCCCATATTTGGCTAAAAATCATCATACGATGAAAACGGAAATTTATGGTTCTCTAAAACGTAATAAGCAAGGTTCCAATCCGAACTCAATAAATATTGTAAATGAGACAAAAGAATGTTTATTTTCACTTAACAACAGAAACAAACGATCAGGAGCAATAAATTGACTAACCATTTCGTTCCGTCGATGTCACTGCAGGATCAACAGATCCCTGACAGTGTTTTCAGCATCAGCCTGATGTTACGGAAAACTAGTCATTACTTCATTACTCACGTGAATAGGATAATGCTAGGCAGTAAAGTAGTAGTGCAACTAGTGCCTAGCTTATTTAGAAACTGCACAAGACTGGTGATGTTATTTCTAAGGGTCTGCATTCTACCTTCAGTTATATATACTTGATTAATATTCTTATCCCTGCGTAAACTTCGATTAGCTCTGAAACTTTTTATCAGATCAACTTTAAAATGATTATTGTAAACATCATAGTAAATCAGATTGTAAGACCTACTGCAAACCAATAACAGCTTTCTTCCAATTATTTATTTTTACACTGCATCAACCTCTTTAAAGATGTACTTCAGAGCCTCCGTAAGTTTAGATATCTGCGTGAATGGCTACAACATGCAAAGAATGAAATTCCGCTGATGGTTTGGTTTAGACCATATCCGGAACGAAGGAGGTTGAATCCGCTCAAAATAATTTTGTTTTGTTAATCCATGTATTTTTTTTCTGATTTTCATACTTATGCTCCTATTACTGAGCTTTCAGAGAGATGCTTATTTTTTCTAAACTGTTACACCACTGGAAATATAAGTGCTATATACTGATAACCACTGCTGAACCTGAAGATCTCTTTAGTGTTACTTTTAGCATTATAATTTATTACCTGATAAGGTTACGAATTGGATGGTACGAAAAGCGCCGTAAATTAGTTTATATCATTTTTGACCGACCATGGATATCCAGAATAAGAAACGAGATTATAAACGAACACAGAATGAAGAAATTCGAAGAACCTATTATTAAAATCGATTTTGCTCTATGCTGATAAAGCGGCTGTTGAAGTATTACTTTCTTCACGAAGTTGTAAAAAATATCAGCCGTTTACATAAGCAGAACCTCTCTGGTTTGTGACCTCTGCTGTTCTGCAGCTTTTCAACATGTGCAATAAAGCATCGGCTACTGCATAGCAGAAGAAAACATTACTATCTTAAAGATCTTCCTTTACGTGGTTTCGCCATGGTACATGCTAGCTTCTTGATCTAATTCTGCATTTCGACTAATACACGATAAACACTCGAGCTAGAGTAAATACTGTATGCTCAACCAATTTGCATTATTGTGCTTCCTGCAATTATTTAGTGGGTCAACTTCCAATGCATATGCTAGACATCTATAGAGGTACCCTGTGTCTGGAAGAGAATGCAGTTATTTCTGACGCACTCCATCGTTTAATCCTAATCATACATCGAAGCCAAAGCTGCTGCACGCAGTTAAACCGTCGTTCTTGCTCCTTCGCTAGAACAACAGTATCCAGGCATGGTAAAGTAGAATTTCTACTGCATGAGACACTGCATTCTCAGCTCAGATTTTGAAAGTTTCCAGAAGCACTCCAAGATAG